TTAATCCCTGGGACACTGTACAGCTTCATAGTATTTGCTGTAGCAGCTGATCATGAGATGGAAGGAGAAGGAGTGTCCATACAACTGAATACATGTAAGTCATGGTTTCTTGCATCCCTGTTCCTAGTGGCCTGTGCTTTGCTGTGGAGCACAGGGCTCTGCTCACCTGCCCAGGGTTTGAAATACAATATTATGTTAGGCAGAAGTGCTGCACGCAGCCTACCTGGAGTCAGCAATGGCAATATGTGGAAGGGGGATCTGTGCACAGGGTTTTGTTGCCCTCTGTTTCCTCTGGGTGAGGTCCTCAGGTTCTCATTTGGAAGGCCTCCCACAGAGTGTTCCATCGTGCCTGGGGAGCTTCCCCCTTTGGGAGAGCCCATGGATGCAGCTGATGTTGGGCAGTACGGGATGGTGTGGCTGTCAGCCCTGCTGCTTTGCTCAGCCCATCAGCAGATAGGACAGTGCTGAGTTACTTCTGCATTCCTCATGTTAGGCATTGTGACTTTTCCTCCTTGTTGTGATCATGTGCTGCCTTGTCTTTTCCTTTGTTTTGTCCCATTTTGACTGAGGGGAGGTGAATCTTGCCCAGAGCTCCTGAGTGGGTTTTCCAAAGGGGCTCTGGGATTAACTTGGAGAGTTGCTGGTGCTCTGAAAGTGCTGCTTGCTTGAGTGTTTCTGGAGTCATAAGAAGAGTTTCACGGAGCCCGTCATTTTTTTCCTTATCAGGGTAGAGTATGCTGGTCTCTGACATTTCCCATGGAGCACTGATGGTACTTCATCTAACTGTTCCTACATGATAGAGGTCACACGTCATGACTCCTCTAGAAACCAGGCATCCATTGTCACCTGGTGTCAGAGGTGTTGTTCCAGGGTTTGTCTGTAATCTCCTAGAATTTCACTGTATTTGTAGGAGTAGCTGACAGTGTTACTGAAGAAAAAGAAATATTTATAAATTGCAGTAGAAGTCCCACTCACATCTATTTTTACTAAATCTGTTTCTTCTGGTGCACAACTGTGCTTCTCTGTAGTTTCTTAAAATAATACCCCTTCTAACAGCAAAATAATTTAACAGGTGAGTCTATAACCTCTGTGTTTTAAAGTACCAAATCCTTACTGAGAGAGGAAATTAATTTAGTGTCTGTTGTAATTGTAGGTTTATACGTGTTTTGGTCCTGAAGGCCAAGTTTTACAAGATGTTTAGTTTAGAGGAACCTTTCTTCTCAGTGGTCCTACTATATTATTTTTTAAGCATCTTTCTGTATCTGGTCATAAGGTTGCATTTTTTATACTACATCTTCTAGTCTTCTAGGACTCTTGCCCAAACTGACTTGTTATAGTTGCTACTTTTAAGGATGACTACTTCTGTGCTCTTAATGGACAGAGATTAAACTAATTTTCTTATTTCTTGGCCACTAAGAGTTTTATGTAATTATAGAGGGATTTAGTGGCAGTCTACATACTGTAAAAATGTTCTTAGAGTAGTATGTTAAAGAGTTGAACAGTATTTTGAAAATGTTGCTGATCTTGATATACGCTCAGCCTGAATTTTCCCAGTAACCCTGTCTGTAGAGGAGGTAAAGAGCACAGAACAGGTCTGTGTATTGTGTTAATAGTTGTCTTCCTCATAGGGTAACAAGTCCTTGTGTAGGCAGTAGGTGTCATGTAGCCATCTTTTAAAAAGGGGAAAGGGAATACTGAAGTTTTACAAGCATTTATATGCATAACATACAAATACACAGCTTTTTCTAAGGGCAAGGCTTGATTTCTTACTCCTCCTTTTTTGTTATTCTTTTTTCTTTTGGCAGTAACTGTCTCAGTGGATTCACTTCAGTGTGAACCAGTGGCTAAGCAGCCTTTCCTAATGCTGAAGTGGAAATGTCCTTTTGGTAACAATGCTGGCTTCAGAATCAAAATATATAATATAAGTACTTCTGAGGTAGTAAGAGAAGAATCGGCTCCACGCTGCACGGTAGAAGGCTTTGAACAAACCTTCCAAACAGCACGTTTAAATTTTTTCAGCACTTATAATGTTACTATCATAACTCTTCCAAATGGCACTGAAAGCTCTCCAGTGGGCAAGTTGTGTCACACCAGCATTACTGGTAAGCGTTAAAACCTGAGTATGAAAGATACTTGTAGGACAAAAATATTAACTTCATAATTGCAGAATACCAGACTTGGTATGCACTACATTGTCAGCTTGCAGAGTATGAATAGAACACTGTGTTAATTAATAGTCTAATGTGATGCACAATAAATATGCATTATGTGTACAGTCTTTGTATCACAGCCTTTTCTTGTTCAGAAAACTTTTATCAGTGCTTAATGTACTAAAAACTATTTTTGTTGGCAGACCCACCTCCTCCAACTCAAGTTCCTTCAGTCAAGGCCGTCAGCCACAGCTCGCTGTCTGTTGAATTCTCTGATTTTGATCCACTGAATGGTCCATTAGAAGCCTACGCAATAATGATTACAACAGAAGATCAAAGTAAGATGTTTATGATATTATCATGTAGCTGAAACAATTTACCAAGTAGCATTATGTTTTACACTCTAAATAGGTGTTAAGCAAATAAAGAAAAGGTGGACTCAGACTTTTCAATCACTTTTCAGAAATCATGAGGCAGATACCTTGCTTGAAGTCAGGCCACTCGTGCCTGTTTGATTCAGTCTTTTCCTGCCTTTGTACATCAGTCTCATATGTATTGTTCTTGTGCTGTTGCCACCTTGATTTGCCAGTGATTGGTTTCTCCAGGATTGCATAGTGTCCTTTCTTTCCCTGCAGAATACTTTTCAGACCAGCTAATAGAAGCAGTTTTGGAATATGGAATGTTTCCCCTGCTTTCTTCAGCTGAAAGATGCCTGCAGTGAGGTCTTAAAAGAAAAAGAGCTTTCTTCCTGATTTTACCCAAAACACTTTAACTAAGAGAGATGGGATGTGGGTGGAAGACTTAAATATCATTGACAACATTAATGGAAGTTAAATGCCACAGAAAACTAGAGGGTAGCCTATCAGACTAGTCTATTTAAAGCATCTGAGCTTAGAATGTCTCTGATAGGTGAATGTCTAGTGACAAATAATTAAATTAAAAATTAAGGAACTTAGTTTTGCAGCATAGGTTACACTTGAACAACTGTTCATTTTTGCCAGTGCACTGTAGGAATAAGGCACCTGATGGCGGCAGTTTCTGCTTAGTGGGAATTGACATTCATGTTTATCCTTTGTTACAACACTGGAAATCCATTTCGCAGAATTTTGATTTGCTGATTTGAATGTCAGTCTCTTGCATGCAGCTCTGCTTGTAACAGCTCTGCTTGTAACTTCAACCAGTCCTGGTTAGTCACAAGGAGATCTGGTGCATTCTTCTGTGTGGTTTGGATTGGAGGGTATTCAAGGAGGTCTTGCAGGATTTGACTGAGAGAAATAAGGGAGGAAGGTTGCCCACATTTGTAATGTAGAGTCAGTGCTTTGATGGGAGCAGAAGACAGCTTTACAGACAAGAATCTCTTCAGCTTTATTGTTGAAATAGCACAAATAGTCTTGAGATGTGTTTCTCTGTTGTAAACCAGTCATGGTTACCTTTAGGATAGACAGAGGGGCTTTATTTTGAAGTGTAAGAAATGGTGTCTAAGGCTGTTTGAAATGTCATAGGGTGGTATTTAAGGCAGGTATAACCTGGGATGTACATCCTATTGGAATGGAAACTAGGGACAAGGCATAACATACCTCAGGTAGGATTGAACATCCATTTCTAGGCAGCTGAGTTATTTGCAACCTCATCTGATTTTAATAAGACCAAGTCAGTGCTTTAGAATAGTTTCTTGCACCTTGTTGCTGCAGAGTCACAGTTGAGGAGATCTTTGCTGCTGGTGGTAGATCACCCCTTGTCTGCACAGCTCTAGCAAACTTAACAGAGCTTTTCCACCTTTCAGAGCTGCCTGCAAGACTTCTCCTTTCTAAAGGTGAATTCAGTATTATACCCACTTTTAGAAGGATCTTTTAGCTTTGTAAAGACAGTCAGTAGAGAGCAAACTTCTGTCAAATGAGTGATATTCTTTGTCCCACCTCGGCACTGGGAAGATTTGTCAGTTGGCTTGCTCTTGAGTTGTTGGGACAACTGGTAAGTTGAATTTGTGTATTACATCTTGAGTTACATGTGCCTTAGCTATATAATTGCCTCAAGGTTCTAGGGTTAGTCTGCTATAAGAACAGACACTGTAAAGTGGTGCTGTTCTGCAAATGGTGTCCTCTTGGTCACTGCTCACTGTGGTAGCCTGTTCTAAGTCTTCTGAAGGGGAAGCTGTTCTGACCATTGTTTTGTCCAATGCTTGTCTATGGCGAGGAAAGGCCTCTTTCATCTCTTACAGTTCAGGTGTGAGACTTCTTGTAGGATAGAAATGGAACAAGGTCAGGACAAGTTTAGTGTCACCCTGAATGAGGCCTGATGATGTTTGAGTAGCACAAATACTGATGGATTTTTTTCCTACACCATTTGCATTTTACTCCCTACGTACAAGAATGGATAGAAGACACATGGATATACCTGACTTGGCTGGTGAAATCTGTCCACAAGGGTGCCTGGTTCCAGCACTCGTGCACCTTTATTCAGAGCTCCATTATACACAGTAGAAGTAAAACCAATAGTAACTTAAAGCAAATTACACTGGGGAGAGGTGCTGCAGTAGACTGCGCTGCAGAAGAAGGTTTCTGAGATTATCTGTTGCTCTCAGCCTTTCATTTCAAACAGTACTTGTGGAGGAATGACAACTGTAGTTGTTTTGATCATCTCAGCCACTGTGCCAATTGATACAAAACCAGGGAATTAATTATATCCATATTCTTGTTGTTTCATGAAGGTTCTGAGTCTTTGAAGTCTAAATTGAACAACACATACAAAGATTTCAAGATGAAGAAGACAACTGCCTATGTTACATATGTCATAAAAACAAAGCAGGCAGAATCACGTTCTTCCAGTTCTCAGAATGATAGGAACACCATTCATGTAGGCAAGGGAAACACAATGTATGGCTATGAAAACGGACCATTGATCCCTCTTCGTTCATACAGGTATTTATTTCAAACCACTCTTTTGGTAAGTTTTCTGCTGTTGAAATCTAGAAGATCATCTAATGGAAAGATGACAGATCTTGCTGAAGGCTGTTAGAACTCTGTAATGTACCTGGTTTTGTTTTTTTTTCTTATTCCTTCCCTTTCAACAGGGCATGTGTTGCAGGTTTCACTAATATAACCTTTATGGCCAACATGATTGAGGGAGAAGAAAGTTATGTATCATTTTCACCCTGTTCTGAACCAGTTTTACTGCCCCAGGATCCAGGTATAGTTAATGTCAAATATAGGACTGGCAGCTTGGCACATGCACAGCATGTGGAGATTCTTTAATTATGGCAAGTTTCATAATATCAAAACACCCATTGTTTTTTCTGTATGAACTGTTTCTTTCCAGCTTTGCAGTGGCACTGCTCTGTAAATTCATACCTTGCTAGTTCTGTGGGTGATGCCTTTTTTCCATATGGCATTCCACTGCTGGAGTAGCCAAAAGCCATGGCATGCTGAAAGGGATTGGATGGCACAGTGAGACTTTGGTATAGCAACAAGTGGGCAGTAGCAACTGATGATCTCACAGTCTGTTAAACTAGAAGCAGGTGTATTGGAATGAAAATACTGGTCCTTTGATCCCAATTTTATATTAATTTAACATTCCCTGGTTATTATTCTTAAGGAGATTTCAATACTGATACTGCCAAAGGACAGTAAAGATATTCTATATTAGTAGAGTGAAGCATGCTTGATTAGTCATTTGCAAGGTTCTGCTGTAGCATGTTGATTCAGTTAGAAGTTACTGAAGAGGACAATGAGTAATACTTCTTCTCTTTTATCAGGTGTTATTGCTGGAGTGGTTATTGGATGCCTCTTGGCTATCTTGGCTGTAGTCGCTGTAGGGGGGTTCATATTCTGGAGAAGGAGAAGGTAATGTGTGTTTGTTGTTGTATTGGTTGTGTTAGGGAGCCACCAGGGTTTCACTTCAGTATCTTTCTCCTAAAAAGGACTCTTCGTTGTGACGCATGGCTGTCAAGACGTTTTAAAATATGTTGTATTAAAATGTTGTTTGTATGTTACAGATTAGAGTTGAAGCTTGTTTAATAACTTTGTTTAAGCCCATAGTTACAAACTAATGAGTTGAGAAGAACTAAGCAAAATAAATTTTATTTCCTAGACCAGATTTATAGTATCATAGAATGGCTTGGTTTGGAGGGATCTTCAAGATCATCCAGCTCCAAGCTCTCTGCCATAGGCAGGGACACCTCCCACTATCCCATGTTGCTCAGAACTTCACCCAGTCTGGCCTTGAACACTGCCAGGGGTGGGGCATCCACAGCTTCTCTGGGCAACCTGTGCCAGTGCCGCACCATTCATGAGTAGTCATGAAGTCATTCAGCCACAAGTGAGCAAGTATCTCAAATTACTGTGCAAAAAGTAATTGGGTGTAATTGTACCTTAGATGGTTTGATTTTAAACTATCCATCAGTCATTCTTTTTAATTGCTTCATGGTCTGTCACAGTAAACGTCTATTCTGGAATTTCCAGAAGCTGATGAGTTTGAGCTGGTCTCTCAGTTTCCAATCTTCTTCAAGTCATCTGAGATGTAAGAGTGCACAAAGGCTTTTTCCTGCTTCTGACCATGTAGTACATCCTTTCTATGGAGTTAGCCATACCCCCAGTCCAATTTTCTTAGTTGCTTTTATTAACTGTTGTTATTTTTACAATTGTGTCCAGTAGCTGTGTACAACCATGGGAAGAGCTTCCTTTAAAGCTAGCACCATTTCTTTTCATTCAGCTACCATTGAATGACTGACACATCACTGTTGAGCACTTCCTGTAGAGATTCTGGGATTAGCAGCAGTTCTCCTGAGATATCAGTTAGTAGTGCAGATCTCTCATTGTACATCTTCCACCAAAATAAGTGCTTTGTGTTCAGGCTTTATACTCTGGGTTCAACAGAAAAAAGCAGTCCCATTGCATAGCATCACCAAAAGAAGGGTGAATTTTTTTTGGGCTTTTGTTGTTTTTTTTTTTTTTCCTAATTCCAGGTATAAAAGTTTGCCTCAGGGGTTTGGGTTTTTTTTTTCACAGAATAAGATGCTTTAAAAGAAATTGTTCTCAACAGGCACAAGGAAACAGATAAGAAATCTCTTTTATATTCCACTGAATTTTACTGTAAATCTATGTTGTTTTCTTTCACCTTATAGGAAAGATAAAAGAAATACTGAAGTGTCTTTTTCTCCAATTAAGTAAGTCCGTATCTTTTCTCATGGTATTTTCTGAGCTCAAATGATATTTGCAAAAATTACTCAGAACTCAGATAATTGTTTTCTGTGCAGTTTTATAGATAATTTTGAAGTATTAATTCCTTGTGGAACTTAAAGATGCCAGCATGCAGACTAAAAATAATCGTGTTAATTGAGACTTCTAGAGCCACCACAGGGATTTGAGTGTTCACTTCATGAATCACTATTAGACACACAAATATTCCACATGGTTTTGAAAAACAGGGTTTGAATTAAACACAGACTTGGTGTGCATTGAGGGAACAATCAGAATTGTTGATAAAATGCAAAAAGGCAAAATATGTTCTGTGATCTGAATTTTTCTTTTTTTTTAATGACTACTTTGTGCTGAGCCATTCATCCAGATAATGTGATTGTAAAAGCTGGCTATGGAGGGAGTAACCACAATATATTGGAAGTCACAGGCACTGCAACTGAATCATGTTATTGGTTCTGGCAATTTTTTTGCTGGTGGAAAGCCATGGCCAGAACATCCCATGGAATTCCACCACTATAGACTTGATGGTTGGCATAAAATACATCAGGGAATGGGATCAATCCAATGGGAGTAAGCAGCTGGCTTACACCTTGTGTGATGTTCCTCTCCTGAAGGATGCACTGTTCTCTCCTTGATTTAACAGAGCAGTTAAATGCTATGCTTGATACCCTGTGCCCTGTAAATGCACTGTTTTGTGTCTGCAACTAATGCTTTCAGCCTTACAGTCACATAATGAAAAATACAACTGCATGTGTCTAATCAGCCTTTTTTTCTTCCCCTCACCCTCTGCTGAAGAATAAAGAAGTAAGTAAAGCATACTTTCTAACACATTAACTGAATTAATTCATGGCTTATTTACACAGCATCAGTTGCTGACACATGGCTTTTCTCATTTTAGATCAAAAATGATTAAAGTGGAGAACTTTGAGTCATACTTTAAGAAGCAGCAAGCTGACTCCAACTGTGGTTTTGCTGAAGAGTATGAGGTATGTGCCCTTAGTGGAGAGAGAGATTCATGACAAATATTTTTGGGAAGGCAAATCATCTTTCCTATGGAGCATGCACAAGTCTTATCGAAGGAGAAAAGAAGGGTCCCTTTTTATAGAGATGATTAAGCTGTATGTATAGCCTTGCTATCCCTTCCCTTATACAGTTTCAAATTTAGTTGAAGTGCATGATAAATACTTCCTGCCCTGAATTATTATCTCTGACTTTAGCCTGGCCTGCTTGTCAGAGCTCTCACCAGAGAAATCTTTGCCCTAGTCATACATGGACTTAACCTAGGGGACACTGTAGAATTTCTCTGCTCTTCAGTTTTCTCATCTTGGGTTGGTTTGAGGTTTTTTATACATACCAAGACAGGTCTGTTGCTAATCTCACTGGCTTCTTCAGTGTGTGGGTGTGATTTGCAAACTACACCTGTTAATAGCTCAGTAAGGAAACAGCAATTATGATTTGCTTACTGACCACAAGAGTTTTTCTATGAAATGTGCTAAAGCTCAGCTGTTGTAAGGACAAAGGACAGGAAGGAGGTGTCAGGGAGGCTTCTGTGTTGTCATGTCTGCTGTTAAAGAATCTCATTCTGTTTCTCATCTCCTCAAAGCTATTAATTGACTTTGTTCTTCAAATTCTGTCTCTTTGTACTTCACAGGCTGGTGCTTCACCTTGCCTTCCTCTCAGATTTTGCTTCCTTCAGTTGGTTCATGATGTGTTTGCTCCTTTCTCCCTGTAATGCCTGCAGAGTTTATGCAGTAGTTCCCTGCCTTGGGGACAGAAGGAGCTGCCATTGATATCAGTGTCTGTTTCCACAAAACTGTTCCCAGGCTTTTAAAGTCCATCTGTGGGTTTTAAACCTGCTGCTATTCCTATTTTCTGTATTAATCTCTTCTCTAAAAGATTTGCCACTGTCACCCTCCCACTCTGTAACAAGATGATTTTTATTGACATTTATCCCAGTTTAACATGCCTACATTTACAGCACAGGACACAAGTGTTTGGACTACTTTTTTGTTTCTGTATGATTGCTAAACCAGGACCAGATGCTCATAAATCCTCCTTTTATTGTAGGAACTCAAGGCTGCTGGTGTTCATCAGCCCAAATTTGCTGCTGAACTTCCTGAGAACAGGGGGAAAAATAGATACAACAATGTCTTGCCATGTGAGTTATTCTCTTTGGGTTGGCATCTTCTCGTGGTTGAGTTTTTAAATGAAAACCACTGGGTTTGGCAAACCTGGCTTTAATAGTCCTCAGAGGTTTCAAATATAATTTCCTAAATGAATGATTTTGGGCTGCTACTTTCCCAAAGTCACTGTAAAAACACACCTGAAAAAGCCTTTCCTCAAGGATATTTCTTCAGAAAGTTTCTTTAAAGAACTTTCCCTTAACAAAATAACTTTAATTTTCCATTTGTGAGAAATGTACAATCCAGGTTGAAAACACAAGAGGATAACAGTTGACCACAGACAAATAAATTTGCAAGCTATGAGAAATATTAAGACCCTGCAGGCCAGTTTTGCAGATGAAGTAAGAGTTTAAGCCCTGTCAAGCTGCCTGTGGGCATCCCAATGTAGCAGAGTCAGAAGCAATTGAAAAGTGAACAATGACAGGTACTTAAGGATGCTTTGGAGGAAAAACATCAGCTACCATGGCAGCAGGAGACAAAGCACTTCTTTTTATCCAGTAATTAAAACTAATAAATCTTGTGTTGGATTAAAAATATATAAATTGGCAATACCATGTTTAAAAAAAAAACATGTTTAAAGCAAAAATAATCTGCGTTTCTTGAGTGATTATCATGGCCACTCCTTTTTCTGAAGCCTACTGCTATTTTTGATTCCTAAGGTTATAGTCTTATTCTTAAAATGCCCATTGAATGCTTTTTATTTAGAAACCATGCATTAGATAAACAATATTGTTCTTATTCAAGGTTCCAGTTTGAAAATTCATAGTTGTCTTTTCCTTTTTTCTTTCTGCAGATGATATTTCTCGTGTTAAACTTTCAAATCAAACCTCTGGAACTGGTGATTATATTAATGCAAACTATATGCCTGTAAGTTGCTTCATTAGCTGAAATGGAATATAATGTGTATTTTTCTGATGTAGGCATATGGGCTCATAATGATGTTTAAAATCAGCTTTTATTTCTCACTGATGTTGTGTATATATATGTGTATGCATATATATATATATATACATATTTATTTTGTGTTTTCTTATTAGGGCTATAACTCAAAGAAGGCATTTATTGCTGCACAAGGTCCATTACCCAATACTATAGAAGACTTCTGGCAAATGGTTTGGGAAAAGAGTATCTACTCTATTGTTATGTTGACAAAATGTGTGGAACAAGCCCGGGTATGTTGCTATCAATACTGAATTGTCTCTTGAAGGCAGCTGCACCTCTTCTAGTTTTGTTGTTACCTTAGTGGTTTGGAGACTGGCCACTGTCTTTTAACAACAATCCTCTTGCTGGAAGATTGTTTTCTAATTTAAAAAAATGCTAATTATTTTGCTTTGGGTTTTTTTTAGCTTTTTCCTATTTTTCTATCTGCTGACTACCGGAATAGATTGTCTCAGGAGGGTTGTGGATCACTGTTGTTAAGGGTGGGGTCTTCTTTTTTAAAGAATGATTTTGATAGATCTTCTTTTGTCCTGGAATAGCCTTGAGAAGGGTGATGTACTTTCTATCCCTGCTTCAGGTGGTGTGTTATTTAAAAGTGAGTTGTTTCATTGCTGTGTGTGATGTATCTAACTTTGTAACTCTCTTCTTAGACAAAATGTGAGCAGTACTGGCCAGACAAACAGCCCAAGAGCTATGGTGACATTATTGTGACAATGGTCTCAGAAGTTGTCCTTCCAGAATGGACAATAAGGGATTTCACTGTAGAAAAGGTGAGGACTACCTTGATTGTTGGCTGTTAGTGTGTAAATAATTTTGTGCTTATCCAGATACCTGTAATATCTTCTGGACCAAAAAATTAGCCCCATCAGTAAATACAGTGCAGTAGATATGAACTTGGAGTAAAGTAAAAGTACAAGGAAATTATTTCAAAGTATTCTCGACCACAGTAGAAGGAAGAGGGAAACTGGAATATCATTGGTCAAATCACTGCACAGTTGTAACAGGCATCTTTGATTAAGCTGAGCTTGGCTCCATACACGTGTCAGGAAGCCCGGCTGTTACTCCTCTGAAGCCAGTTTTCACTGTCTTTTTTTTTTTAGTTTTTTTAATGTCTACTCTTCCTGCAGTCCAACACCCCCGAGAGCCACACAGTGCGCCAGTTCCATTTCACCTCCTGGCCGGATCACGGTGTGCCAGAGACAACAGATCTTCTCATCAACTTCAGGCACCTTGTCCATGAGTACAACAGCCAGAATCCAGTGGACTCACCTACTCTGGTGCACTGCAGGTAGGAAGAAGCTGTTTCTGTTAGACACACTTTTGTCTAAAAAAACAAAAAAAAAGGGGTTTTTTTTCAGTCAATTCCATTTCAGTGGGATTAAAACCAAAGTAAGCCTCTCTGTCTAAGGATGTGGGCTATTTACCTTGCCAAACTAAAACCTCTGCCTGTTGCTTCAGTAAGTAGCAATGCTGTGTAGGTAGCAAAGGAAATTGTACCAAATATCATAAGAACAGAGCATCTTTCCTAGCCTGGAAAACTGAGTTGGAAAAGATGTCCTTTCAAGAGCTTGTATAATCCTGTGCACATGGAAGGCTGAGAAGCCCCTCTTGGTGGTGGTAAGAGCCACCTCTCTGTGCTGCCAAGAATTTTATTACCCATGCCGCTGAAATAGTAGGAGGCATCATCCTGGCTTGCCTGGCTTTTTATCAGGCCAGCAGCGAGCAGGTGGCTGGGAGGAAGCACAAACAGCCTGTCCGTGTTGTTTGCAGTGCTGGTGTCGGGAGGACGGGGACATTCATCGCCATTGACCGCCTGATCCAGCAGATGGAGATGGAGAACACCGTGGATGTGTATGGAGTGGTGTACGACCTCCGCATGCACCGACCCCTCATGGTGCAGACTGAGGTGAGGCTCTCTCCCATCCAGCAGCACCTTTCTCAGATGTGCATAATCAGCCAGATGTAGCTCTGAATTTCAGGACAGTGAGATACTAAGGAGTTAAAATTGCTCTTCATTTAACTTCCCTCCTTCCTGCCTCATCTTTTCTCGACAAAAGTAGTTGCAGCCAGGGAGCATAGTACATCCAAGCAATGTCTTTACAGAGTGCTTTGTAGGACTGGCATTTGCAGCTGGAAGAAATCAAATCCTGAATCCGACTTTTTTGCAGACTAGTTTTCCCTATGTGGATTTTATAGTTTAGTTGTGAGCCAGAATTATCTGGAGTAAAGTGGTCTCAGTGTGCATCTTTTCTTTTGTGCTCTGCAGGAATACAAGTATTCCTATGGAAATTACTATGATCCAGCAAGCATCTGCCCTTCTTGTTCTTCAGCCCAACCTTTTATACCCCTCATGTTCATGCATTGCACCTGTGTGCCCTCTGTTCCCTTTGGTGGTTGGTCAGTGCACCTGGGCACTCCATGGCTCATTGCTTTCAGTGCTTCTCACAGCTGTGCCCACTGGGGATGAGGTTCTGCTGCAGCCCCACTTCCAATTACCACAAATGTGTACCTATATATATGTTCTAAAACAAGCACTGTGATAACATTCAGTGCAGTGCCCAAACCTATATTCAAAAGCAGAATTACTTCCAAAATTAAGTATTTTTTAGAAATGTATTTCTGTCTCTCTTTCTCCCATCAGGACCAGTACGTCTTCCTAAACCAGTGTGTCATGGATATCATTAAATCCCAGAGAGAGAGGAAAACGGACCTTATCTACCAAAATGTGACAGCAATGGCAATCTATGAAAACTTCACACCTGGGCCAGCCTTTGGGAAGGCCAATGGCTACCATGCATAGTCCAGAAGGAACCCAGTGCCCCTATCCAGGAGGTGTTACCTGCCCGCAGAGAGAGGTGTCCGACTCGTGTTTTCTGGGATTGTGTGCAGTGTCGCATGTCTGGCTTCTCCAGTTCTGTCTGCATTCAAAGGTGTGATCTGCAGGAGGAAAAACACAACACTGGCAGGAGCTGCAGACTGATGTTAAAAAACCCAAACAACAAAACCCAAGCAAAACTTTTTGAAGTTAACAGAGGAATCTTGTTTTTTTTCTTGGGAATTTAACAGTACTGATAGGTGAAATAGCATTTGCAGTATGAACAGTGAACTAGAGTTTAAATATTAAAATAATAACACAAGCTTTTTATTACAATTTTATATGATTTCATTTACAGACACCAGGCTGGTGGGTTGTTTTAATATATTTAATTATAAGTTTCAGGAACATATTTTATCTACTGTATCTGGTTACTTAGTTAATAGGTATGTGCCTCTGTGATCTATTTTTTTTCTGTGTTCCTTTTTATTTAAAAAAGGAGTACAAATGGCTCCTTCAAATGGACATTCATACTTGGAAATTGTGCCTTTTCTAGTTGCTACTCTAGAAAAAAAACAGCAGAGATTCTATTTTTGTACTGAAACTCTTAATGAGAACACAGATTTTTAAATAAGGCTTATGTCAAACTTAACTGTAGTTGCACTGTTGGCAGGACTCTCCAGAAGTTTGGAGGTGAGCTTTGTTTTTGCATTTCACCACAAATATCCCCTGCCTTAATGTTTTGGTGCCTCTGCCAGAGGAAAAGGAGTGTGGTCTGTCACTCCGAGCTTTAACTGTAGTTAAAAACAGAGCAAGTGAATCTGTGAATGTGTGTGCGGGGTGGTGTGTGGGCGTGTGGATGAAGGACAGAATAGCTCCTCCCTGTTCCTGCCTGATATTCCTGTTTTTATACAATTTATAATGATTTATTTAAAGGTGCAATATATGATTTACTGAATAATGCTCACTCTAATGAGTTTTTCTCAGGTTGGTGTCTTTTTATCATTGTTGTTGTTTTTCCTCAAATATATAAATCTGTGAAAATGCTGAAACTAAGGTTCCAAGTGTTCAAGCACTCCCAAACAGATCGACTGGCTTTACTGTGTCTACCAAAAGACATTGCACAAAAATCTGCTGTAAAGACAAATTTCTGGGTTGTTTTAGCCATTCAAAACTGAGACACATCTTACCTGTCTGCATCTCACTGATCCAGTGTAATTGTTTTGTAATTATTTGCAATATACTGCTGCTTTTGGTTTGACTGGTCCTTTTGGAAGCTGAAGGAACAAGCAGAAATCCCCCGTTTGCTGATTTCACAAGTTAAGGATCAGATTGGATTTATTTTGCTGGTACATAATTGTTAGACTTAGGAAGGCATTACCAATGAAGGACTTAGGTAGTGTGGGGTGGGGAGAAGTGTGTTTTTTGGTCTTTGGATCGTTGCACTGGTTGCATTGTAGATGAATATGAAGTTTATGAATAATGCTATAGAATAGCTATAAAGCAGGGAAAAAATCTTATGAAGGTTTAATAACCAGAGTCCCTGGAATTCTGCTGCTTTTTTGTTGTCGTTGTTTTGGGGGTTTTTCTTTGTTTTAGTAGAGTTGTCAAAAAAAGCTACAGATGCTAGGAGTATATGTGGCTTTACAGTGGAAGCTGGCAATCTCACAGGATTTAATGTCAGCTGAAGGAGAACATAGGAATTCCTGGTGCACAACTGTAACTTTACAAATATCCTGAGGAACTTTTTACAACCTGGTGTGAAGCTGTGGTGTGCTGTGTGAGCAAAACTGGAGGACACACCACAGTGCACTTTTGGTTGTTAGGTTTTGGGGTTTGATTTTGTTTGTTTGTTTGTATTGGGTTTTTGTTTGGGGTTGTTGTTTTTTTTTTTGGTTTTTTTTTTTTTTTTGGTAGCAGCCACTTGTGGGTTCTTGAATATAATTTTGTTTCTCTTCCTCTGGAAAAAAAAGCCTCATCTTGAGGTTCTTGATCCTGCCCAGCTCCATCCAAACTGGCAGCCCACAAAGTGGATGTCTCATTTGCGTTCTTCCTAAGCTGCTGTCAGATGACAAAGATAAACCACTTGCACCAAACAGAACCATTCCAAAAGAACTGGGAAGGAGGAAAGTCTGTCCTTTGCAGTCATGTTATTTTCTTTAACTCTCTTATTCTTTTAATTACTGCACATCTGTGCAGAGCACAGAGCCAGTATTTGTCATTCCAGGTCTCACAAGAACTTGCTGCCTTAGTGGCAAGTGCTCTTTCACTTCAGGAGGCCCTTGTTTTGTGTAGCATAGAGGAGAGGGAGATGAGTCTTCCATGCTAGACCGTGTTGTTTCTACTCTGTTGCAGCAGAACATCAGAAAATTAGCTAGGACAGTATATGTTTCTGCCTAACCACTGCCCAGATCCTCTTACAGAAAACTAATGGATCTGTCCCATTATTTTGGTGTTGGAAGCAGGCATCAATTTCTCATGTGTGCCATCATCTAATGAGTATCCATTTTTAAAAACTGTATGCAGGTGTTTTTCCAAAACTGATGCATTGTGAGAAGAGACAGAAGGTTGAAGCAAATGACCTCTTGATTCTGTGTATGGGGGAAAAGTTGGTAAGGCTTAAGCTTATGTTGCAAACATAAAATTTGGTGTAATGTCAGTGTGAATAAGTAGGACATTCCTTATAGGATGCCCCTGCAGGAAAAGGACTGCAGGTAATGCTCCAGTACCATGTGGATCTGTCTTGGTCAAGATGACTTGAATTCCTGCAAATGTTTTCTCCCTACCCTCTGATGTTCTCTGTGTTATAACTGCTGAGATCTGTCTCTTTGGTCAGTGTTTTCTCTCACTGTTGCTTATTTACACGTGTCCACTGAAAGCTCCACTCTGTGACAATTGCATCTCTTGCATTTCTTTTTAACTCTTTCTTCCTATCTGGGGCCTGCTTAAGAAGGGAAAAGTTGATGTTTTTCAAATAAGTGACTGTTGAGTATCTTGAAATGATGTACAAATTTTATTGTTTTCATATTTGTTGTACAGGAAATTTCAGTACATGTCTGTAATATTTTTAATGGTTTGATTTGTTCTTAAAAATATAAAAATAACAATTAAAAAGCATCATCCTAGAGCACTTTTGGTCTTATTTTTCCTTTGTTGGGATTTTGTTTTGAATCAAATTAACTGCTAAAATACCCATTTGATTTTAGAAGAGCTTTATAAATGAGAAGTGGGCTCCCATCCTCTGAGGTGGCACTTGAGTCAGTTTTGTACTGCAGTCACTGAAGCTCCCTGGAACGGTGTTAATCTGTCATTCAGACTTCCCTGGAAGGCCCTGGGTCTGATGGTAATGTGTCCTGGCAGTTGGTAGCTTCTCTAAAGGAAGGGCTTGATACCAGGTAAGGAAACAGGACCATCATCCAATGTCCATCAAAGATTTTCATTCACTAAAGTGGCCTTGGGGGGGGACCAGTGTTTCTAAGACTTGATTGCTTCCAGAGAAACAAGAGTGAGGACTATTTCATCTGTTCAAGATATTGCAGTGTCTGGAGGTGGTGACAGAAGGGGATGTAGAAATAGCTTTGTGATGCTATAGCTGGCTGCTGGATTACAGATCACCTGTCTGTAGATGCATAGAAAGTTATCTCAGTTAAGTGCCTTTCTGCCAGAATTCTTAGTTGCCATTCCTGGCTGCCATTTGAATCACTCCCGAGAGGATCACATACCTGGAGGGTGATACTGGCACTCAGCAGCTCTCCAGTTCCTCACAGGGTGCTTACACTAAACTAAAATTCTGTGATCTTCTGTGGCAACTGCTTTGTTTTCTGACACAACTGCATGGTGAGATGGGAAGAGCCAAGTGTGATTGTCTTGTCATTGTTTAGTTGGATCATGTGCCAGCCACATGGCCCTGGTCTTACCTTGTGCTATGAGAACTTCAGGAAAGCCAGCTGTTCTGGCTGCCATCTGGAGCCTTAGTCTGGTCCTGTGGCTAGAGCTGAACCTGAATATCTGGAAATCACATTTTGTACATGGTCTTGGCACGTATTAATTTACTGCCTTGGAGATGGAAGAGATGGAGGTCAGAGAGGACAGGATGTAATATTTCTGTCCTGGTCTTGGCTTGATAAATGGGATGTATTGATGCTGCCTGTGCATGTCCTTCCTGGCTGGGTGTTATCAGGCAAATAGAGTTTGGAGCTGAACATGTGTTTTTGTGGAAGAGGGTCAGAAATGGGGGCTTGGAAGGGAAAACCACCAGAAATCTTTCCACAGTGTGCTATTCTGAAGCAAAAAGAAAAAGCCAAGATCTTAACAACTCTTGGGTCTTCTGGGTAAAAACTAATTTAAAAATGCAGATGCAATCACTATAGTCAAGGGCTGGAATGAGGGGCAAGCAAAGATTCACAGTTTACTTGCTTCTGAGGCGGGCAGGTACAGTGTTCTCTATTTCCTGTATCACAAGAGAAGTTTCTGTACTTCCTTTCTTCTTTTGCTGTGGCACTGCTTCAGGGAGTCCCTTTCAGCTCCTCATGTAAGACCTCATGGTGCTGAAAAACCTCTGCCTGCAAACTGTTCCATTTTCAGCAATTTGCAGAAGTGTTTTTGATGTTGATACCAAACAGTGCCTCTCTCCAATTTTGTGTTTCATTTCAGGTTTGTTACCCTTGGACTTGGCAAACGCCTTGCCTGTGCCAGCCTCCTGCCTGTGAGGGAGGAAGAGGCAAATGAAGCAGAAAACCTGAACTGGAAGCACCAGGAGGAGCTGCTTCTTGCCAGTGTTGGCTGAATGGAAGGAGCTGTTAGTACATCTCATGTGGGGGAGAAGCTGGGAGCCCTTCTCAAGCTGTTTCTTAGATCTGAAGAAGATTATGAATCCAGGGACTTCATTATTATTAACAGGGACTTCTTAGTCCCTATTAGCAGAACCCCATTCAAGTTGCTTTCCCTGGGTTTATTACATTTTAAATTAATATACTAATTTTCTGACAGCCAGAAGCAAAGCTAGCAAATTATCCTCTTTCACTGAGAAAAGTGTCTAATTTGATCCCAAGTGAGTTATGTGAATTGACATTTTATCTCCAACTTTCCAAGTAATCAGAGAAAAGCCAGATTGTTTGGAGCAATGTTCCAAGTGTAGTGCTGATGTCTCCTGGACATTCCTGGTATATTCATAATGCTGACATGATTTCTAGGGACACACAAGAGCTGTGTGCTCAGTGTGTGAGGGACAGAGCACTCTCCACACACAATGCCAGGCTCTTGCCCTTGTTTCACTGCAGGGCAGGATGGACAGGAAATCAAGGATCCTCTCTAAGGGATTTCTAGACTTGTTTTATTTTTTTGTCTAGCAGATTTTTGATGTGGTGCTTCCAGAGTTGGGAGTATGCTATCAGAAGGAAAACAGGATTTTTGATAATGGCCTAATGTTAAGTCTGATTAAGGTATGTATGTACCTAAAAGGTGATGGTTGCCTCTCCAGAAGGGAAATATATCCTGCTCATTTCTGGTTTAAGCCTCCAGATGGCACATGATACCACTGGTCTTTCCAAGGAAAGCTTTCCCTGCCAGGCTGCTCCTTTATTTCCTTCCCAGATTCTGATATCCTGCCTCCACTCCTTGTGCTGTTTCCCCATCCTTTCCCTGGCCCAGGTCACTCGTTAAGGCCAGGCCACCATGCCTGTGTATGGCTGTCTGCCTGCTCCACAGGGATATGTATGAGTGTTGTACACCTGATTAGGAGACCTTTTTTCAGAAACTCCTAAGATTAGCAATAGCCTAATAATGCCAAATAATCCTTTGCTACCTCGGGAAGTGATCTTACACTTCAGTGTTGCTGATACCTAGGCATTTTCTGATGGTGTAGGTATTCCAAGGTGTAAGGGCTCTGGCTGGGACCAGCCTGCAGCTGGTCATTCAGCATTATGTGCTCATTTCCCAGCTTATCAGTCTGTTCCACAGCTGTTCCCAGCAATAACAGATTTATGAGATTGCTGAACACAGTGCAGATACATCAATAAAGACAGCAAACAATGACGTGTTTGCTCATACTACTCAATAGGAATAACATTTAAAAGGCTGTTTCATTTAATGGATCTGTGTGTGTGTAACACTAAACATGAATTTTCCCTGCCTTTTTTTTACACAGGTCCTTGGGGAGATTTTAAATGTAGCTTTTAAAACATCTGGCAGCATCTGCCGATTTACTTTGGCTTCCTCTGTCTCCCATTTGAAATACTGTGATATTTCAGTACAGAACTCTAGTGATAGATACATTTTTTACAAACAGGGCAATGATGGAGGTAGGTGTGTGAGAGAGCTCTAAATCTTCTGGAAGATCTATCTTCAACTGCCTAGATGCTTTCAAATCCTTTAGCCTTTTGAGCCAGGCATAAATCAAACCTGGAAATAACATTTCACATCAGAACTTCCCATGCTCGTGTACCAGCACCAGTCCTGTGGAAGATCTGCTCTGAGTAGGATTTGGCTGAGCTGAAGAGCTCTGAGGTGCTGCCTCCTGGCCTGAGTGATGCTCCCAGTGCTGATGGTGACAGGCCTGGTTGTTACATGCTGAATGAAAGCTGAGCTCTGGAGGCCACTTACCAAAATACAGAGAAAAATTTGCGACCAATGTGGATCAGTCAAACCATTAACCTCATTGTAATTTAATTATAAGCCAGGCCTACAGCTACTGAATTTGTTTTCCTCTGCATGAAGATTTCCTAAAAGGTGACTGAGATGCCAGAAAGTACATTTCATAATGTTTGCTGTAATAGATATTTTCTTGTGTCCAGCTCACTGGTGTCACTTGAGTACAAGTCATGTTATTTCTGTTAAGACACTTGATGTTGCCACTTGGTGTTTTGAAAATTAGCTCTTTTTTTTCCATTTTAGAAAGTGTTGCCTTTT